GATGTGCAAAACTGATAGAGACATACCCCAAGCGACTTACAGCTGTAATCGCAGCAAAAGGTGGCGCTACAAAGTATTAACTTAAGGGGGCTGAATAATTTTGCACGCCCAGTTTTTCAGTTTTTTATTTGTTAAAAAAGTTTGAAATATCCAATAAATTTCGTTCCACTTCATGATTGTGTCCCACTTGTTGTTGATTCTTCACAAAAAATTACAGTTTTATATCTTTATGTTTGAAGCCTGAAATGTGGCAAAAGGTCGCAAAGCTCAAGGGGGCTGAATACTTTCGCAAGGCACTGTATCTATCTATAAAAGCAGGCTCTAAAATAGCCTGTAGAATGACAGTTACACATCTGTGATCAATCCATTCACTGCAATCAGTCATTGGCTTGTACAAATAACCACCAAATAACCACCACTTCACTCCCATACACAGACTACAGCAAAAGTAAGACAGCTCCACCCTGCTACAACACATTTTCTAAATGTAACCTTCCGAACACCGGTCCACGGTTAAGCCGGCTTTATCCTTCCCTGCATCCATCACACAGAAACATAATCAGGTTATGTAATAGCTGCAGTGCGGTATCGGGTTCCTGTTCATTGGTGCGCGGTTTACGGTCCAGTAGGACGCAGGTTGAGGGCAGGAGCTGTATCCATCTATAATAACCGCTGCCATGTCCCCCGTGAAGCCCAAGAGTTCAGGTAAGCCTCCTCTATTTGGGGATGTTTCACTGTAGAGAGGAAACCGATACGCGCACTCACCTGCTCATGCGTAGCCCGCAGCGCGCAGGGAGGCAGTCATAGGACTACCTTTGAAGTAAAGGAGTTCATTGAATGGGTTGTTATCTGATTTCACCACTAGTTGACGATGATGGGCTATCACTGACGAATCGGCTACTGTATGAGTTGGCAGTGAGTCGTTCTTCCTCCATCTTAATGGTTAGTTCGCTACAACTATCGGTAGAAACTATAGGCCTGGTTGAGTTATAAGGTAGGGGTTTCTGCGTTAATTAACTTAAAATATATCTTTACAGACACCACCACCAACATAAATTGATATTTTTCCACAGTGGAAAAACAAAATTAAAGTAACATATAACTTTAAAACTGGAGGCAGAGTGCACCATGTCTTGGCTGCTCACACAAAAATGGCATTTTTATGAAGTACACTGAAGAGAGCATTACTGCAGGTAAAATATTGAAAAAAACAGATGAACCAAATAAATTTAAACTTTCTGGAAGAACACAAATTGTTACTTGTAAGTGAAAAGCAAATAGTGAAACCAAATTGGTAAATTTGCATAACATTTTTGAAACTTTTTAAAACGGTAATTGCTGTCAAACAAGTTAATCAACTGAACTGTCAGTAACACATCCAAGCACAGAACACAACGTCCACTTCTTTCTCTCCCCTCCCTCTT